TATGACAAATTAGTGCTTTTCGCCAGTCAGGTTTTATGGAAAACAATAATCTTAGATAAGGCCGGCAATCCATCATGGCGGTGGCAATTGTTTTTAGCTGAGGGAACTCGATTAAATATTCCGATACGAGTATAAAAATATAATAGACTCGCTCTAATGTAGCTGGGGCGGGCTGATTAGCGGCTTTGGAAAATTATTTTCTTCATTTTCCAATGGGTTTCGGTTTTTCTATGATAGAGCATTATGTGGATTAAGGGAGCTACTTCTACTTTGTTTTAACTGTTTGTAAAATTGAATGACAAATTACATACGTTGTCTTACAATATAAGATTTAAGTATTCATAAAGTTTTGACAAGTGATCGACAATTAATTACAGGCATTTGATGATTCTCTGAAACTATTTATTCCAACCTACAATTCAAACTCTGGACCTTTTACATTCAATACATAACCATTGAGACATAAATCGATGAAATGTGAGAAAAAATCTATTGTCTGTAGTTGACGCGTATAATACACATTTAAATAAAACGCTTTTAACGGTTAAAAATGTTAAGTTAAACTATAAAACACTTTTGCCAGTTTAATAAGCGAAATGTTAATACTGTCCATAGTTTACGCTAGTATTAGTAGTAGTAGTACATTTAAATAAAACACTTTAACGGTTTAAAACGCGATATATTAGTTACTTTTTTTTTTAAAAAAAAACCCCCCCCCCTTTTTTTCCCCCCCGCGCCCACGCCTGCTGCAAAGCATTCGGAACGTTGGGCCTTGAAAATTATTTGAAAATGATTTGTTGTTTAAATAAAACACTTTACGGCTGTAAAACTCGATATATTAGTTAAACTTATTTGAAAATATCGGCCCGACGTTTCGGGTTCTCCCCGTGACCACGTCTGCTGCAAAGCATCTGGAACGTCGGGTACTCGCGTAAACTATAGACAGTATTTACATTTCGCTTATTAAACTGGCAAAAGTGTTTAATTTCAAAAGCTCTGTAAGTAGGATCGTTGTTTTTTATTACTTAGGCGTAAAAAGGTAATTATGGTTTATTCTCTCTCATTGATTTCAGTTAAGGACTTGTGAGTTGGCAATCATAGTGTCTGTTTTTTTTTAACATTTATTTGTTTTCATATGTATTATTAACATGTTTTCGCCGGTTAGTTGGCTGTTTGGTTGTTTTGTAACACTTAATACACAAGGAAAGGTAAATAAACGAAATAGTCCAATCTCGATCGGTTAAAAGCCCGCAATACGATGTCTACGGTTCTGCGTTGAAGCAGTGTTGCCAATAAATCGCTGTAAGGCATCGAATTAGCATCAAATCGATACGGTTCCTTCCGGCCGTGCCCCGCGGAGGCAGGCACGAGTTCCATCAAACCATCTATTATTATATACGTATTACGATAATTCCCATTTTTGTATGGTAAACGAAGCTTCTTGGTTGGTTATATGCAGATTTAATACAAGCAAATATATTACTTAAATACTTGTTAGTCTGAAAATATAGATTAACAAAAATATCGTGGTCAAGACTAGAGAGTAATGGTAAGGATAGCCCAACTTCCTCTGCAGAAAAGGGATGGAGAAATGGGGTCAGCCGTTTATATGACCTGGTCTTCATTATAAAATAATAATATCTCTAGATCATCATAATCAAAAACAAAAAAGAAAGAAGTAACGTTACCCACAACACCTCGTGATGCGTTATGCTGATCTCTATGTATACGTCATTTAATATTTTACTTCGCAAGATTAGTCATATAAATTGAAAAAGTATTTTAAATTGTCTTGAAAGTGGCAAAGCAATGGCAAGAAACAATTAAATATCATTTAATTAAAAAAAAATCATTAAGAATTTAACAAATGATTTACTAATTGATGATACAAACACTGTTCTAACTAGAACATTAAAAAGAAAGCTAGCTTACTTAATCGTTCAAATCTAATACTACAATCTTTCCAGGATTTTCTGTAGAGACAAAGATTAGGTAACTATTCTCACTCCCACGAAAAAACAGTCTTCGATTGGAACACATTGACTTATGTTAATCATTGATTAGACATTTAATTTCCAGAACAAGCGATACAATCGATGCCAGTAATTGGCCGCGTAAATCTAAAGTCCTGCTTTGCATATGTCAGCTACCACTGCGTATATCACGTGTGAATTATGAACGCTCTTTATAATTTTATATCGAACGAAATTCGAATATAAAAAGCAGTGGGGGGCGATTCGTACGTTAACGAAAGTTTAAGCTGTAACTTGCGCTTAATGTGTACAGGCAAGCACAAAAGGTTAAAGGCATATAATATTAACCACACTAAAAATTCAATTAGGCTTAAGGATAAATAATATAAATAAATAATGCGTGTAGAAAGCTTTAGACATGAACTTAAATTACTTGGTTGGTACGTAAATCATTGACTTATGAATACATCCTTGGTATAATTGTGTTATGAATAACCCGCGTATTTCATCAGCGATAAGTCAAATCAAATCATTATTAGTAGAGTTTATGAAATAATTATAATAATACGAACACACTTAATTATAATCATATATTATCACCTGAAAAAAATATAAATCGATTGTCTTTTGAATAGGGAAAATAATTCATACCTACAAAGCTTCATTCAGATTAGCTGCAAAGGCTGGTGTCACTCCCAGTTGCTTTATTAAGTTGCATTTTATTAATTTAATGAGGAAATCTTAAAATATTTATTCCACTTCAGTTAACTACATTCGGTTTTTTTAATAGAATTGTCTAAATAAAACAAGTTTGTTTATAGCAAATAAAAACGTTTCTTTCTTTCTAAATATTTATCCATGATATAAAATAGTTTTATACAAAAATTTCATCTGTATCAGTCACTCTGTTTGGTAGTAAAAAAGTATGCACTATCGGCATAATCCTTTCAACAACACAAATTTTCCGAAATAACGTTAGTTTTAGTTCGTATAATAGGAATTCACACTTCCATCCACGACTGTACTATAAAAATATCGATAATTCTAATTAAATCGATTGTTGAAGCATCGATTACACGTTTCGACTTCAGCCGTAAAGATTTCGCCGCGACGCCACGGGACTCCGATAGTTGAGATTTTATAAAATATTTAAATTCGATACTCGAGCGGTAGCCTGCCTGTTAATATCTCGATTCTCGGAAGGCACAGTTCCAATAATCGATATTGTGTTTACGAGCAAGTGTAATGCACCGTAATTAGGTTAGACATTTAGTATGACCGTAACCAAATGATAAGTTTTTGTAATACATCATACATTAACGTCATAGTTCAACAAATTATCTACGTAGCTAGTAATCATCGTGTTATTGATTAAGGATATTTATTGTTTTGTATAAAATACAAATATAAAACATACCAAAATGGCGACAGTATACAATTATGAAAAATATTAATAATAGCATGGTCTATAACACATTTCATTATACGACTGCTCCGATATTACGCGTAGTGTAGTTGAAACATTAAAACAAGAGTTACTTTTACTTTTTATTATTAGAAGGACTATTTAATGTTCTAATGTTTCTATGTAATGTTGTGTTTAGTTAATTAGTTAACCCATGACTTAGGTTTATCTCAAAGTTTCAGGAAATTAATGAAAATGAACACCTTGCAAACTAAAGCATTTAATTGGTTAAGAAGTCGTGACTAAAACACGTAGATACAACGATAAGGGAATCTAATCACTCGCGAACTCCCGTATCGATTACCTTTCGAGAATTCAGAGCTGGTTGAATATTATTAATACATACGGCGCGTAATAAAATTGCCCGACAGCCTTAAATACGCGCCGCAGTACACATTTATAAGTAATCGAATACCGTGCGCTCGATTCTACTTTAGAATCGATTATAAGTATACATTGTAATAATTGTGTGTCACCGTGAAATTGTTGCTGTATAATTGAAAACTATTTAGAGAGTCTATTGTGGTAGAAATAATAAAATGTTCTAATTTTGATTCTGTAACCGTGAAAAAAAAATCTATAGCAACGAGACGAGAGCTTGCAGAAACTTCTAACCGTTTTGAATGACACTAATCTATCTGATAGTTATGCATGTCTTTTTTAGTTACGAGGAAGGCGACTATACCTTTTCTATAGTTTTAATCTGTGGACGGTGGTTCATGGTCGGGCGGAATTTTATTCAATATTTCTACCACTTAGTAAAATATTGGACTCGGTACGGATAGAACACAGAAACCGTGTATTAGCCTTTTGTAATTACCGTCAGTCAAAGCTTACAACAATGGGAATGTCAAAAATAAAGCTCTATTGTTGGTTTTCATTCGAGTAAAGATAAATACACAAAATAATTTTTAACAAAAAAAAACTAGTGCGTAGAGTAAACTTAAACATATTTAATTAACACAAGGCATATATTTATTTTTAGTAAAATATTTTTAAATATTTTTCTACAACTGAAGTCGCACAACTGCACATCAACCAAGTAATGGTGGGTGAATGCTGTACTGTTATATCCCGTTCCAGTAAGGAGATTCCCTTACCTTGCGAATCCCATCCCTTACATCAACAATAGTTCCTAAGTAATGTGATTATTCATTCCCGTCCTCAGTCTTCTCCCAACTTCCATACCGAAAGGTTGTCGGCCTCGTTAAATAGTTATCAAGTAAATATTTTATATAAAGTGAATCATTAGTTTCCTTTATAATAAATATTTTTTTAAGGGAAAAACAAATCCCCATATAACAGTACGCACTGCAAAATTTGGCAGTTTCATCTCAACCTGTCCAAAACTACCGTTCGTGCATTTATAATAATACCAGTATGCAAACTAACTAGATAATTTACAATATCTCTAATTTCATGCGTAGTAGGTACATAATTTGTATAATAATCAAATTATACAGTGTATAGCCGTGTCTGTCAACAACTTGTGATCTTGACCGTAAAGTCAAAGTTTAACCAGCTGGTTAGTTTGTTATTCAAAGCCACCTATAGCGAAAAACTTACCTTGGAAGTAACTTTTGGTGCGTAAGTAGCTGACGGAGAGCCGCAGTATGGAAAGACGGTCCAGCTTGCTGAGGATGTTCTGCTCGAAGGGGAGCAGCGAAGCCAAGGTGTCCAGCTCTGCGTTGAGTCGCTCTCGGTGTCGCTTGCTCGGGTTGCTCTTGGTAACACCGTCCTTTGAAGGGGGTTTGATGCTGGAAGAAATAAATGTAAGAAGTTAATTTCAAAAAAAGTAATGTAACAATTCCTCAAAAGTGATAAGACTTTAATTCCTGTCTTAGTTCTCTTTCCTATGTATACAAAGAAAAGCAATAACAATTACGGTCTGAATTCTATGTTTTCTTCAAAAATCATAAATATAAAAGCTAGATTTAAAAAAAAACCTCAAATGAATTTGCCATTTTGTCAAGTTTTCTTCTATATATTTAAATACATAATCGTCACATACGTTTATATTAAGTTGCTTTTTAGTTTATGCTTTTATTATATATTTAGATGGTTTTTAAAATAAATAATCTTAAACTACCGTCAACCATGAACCTGTTTGTGGATTGTTTTGGCACAATAGGAATGTCTGTAACTGTCAGTGCATTAAAGGGATGGAGCTCTACAATCACTTAATGTTTGATTATTGGCTGGATTTAGAATGTCCTCGATCCAGTAGCTAACGAGGTTTCAGTCACGCGATACCAGTTGTTGCCATAACTTATGCAAGCTTATGGTACCTTCTCAACGTGTTATAATTACGAAGACTTCTATAATAACGGGGAGTACCTATAAATGTTAGTATTTGTTGTGCGGTATTCATTTACACTATCATTGTGAAATGTATTTTTGTTAAACATAGCAATTTTATTTTAAGGGTTGGAAGATCTATAATAAAAACATCGCCACTATGGAGGCCAAGGTATTTGATATATGTTGGTCCATCCTTCACAAAATACCGTCTATAGTTTACGTGATTAGAACATACTTTAAATAAAACACTTTTAGTTTTTAAAAACAGTTCAAAAGCACGTATATTAGTTATAAGACTTGAAATGATGTAATAAAATGAAACTGTATATAAGATGTGTATATATTCGGTATGTTTTGTACTCAGTTTCTCTGTTTTATCTGTTGGTCTTAGCGAGACCTGAAGTTTTAGATTCACGGCTTATAATTTTATTATTTCCCAGGGATTCAAACCTAAAGCCTATAACACAATGATCAGCGTTTAATCACTTCGCCAAGGAGCGGCTTTGATGCTTAAAATTATACAGTTGAAATGTCTCGTCATTAATTAATTACAAAATCTTTATCTTCAAACAAGAACTTGAATAACAACTATATCAAAGTTAACACGGCAACGCAACGGCGATCTATTTTAATTAACATTAGTTAGCGTTAAATTACAGTTTAAATATACAAAAGGTATTTGTTTTTGTTAATTTGTGTTCACATCTCGCTCGCATAGGTAAGCGCGTATTAAGTTTGGACATGGGATCTATGGAGTGGCCATTCACATTTTAAAAATATTTTTGACGCCAATTTTTATATAATAAATAATATGGGCACTTCTATTCGGTAAAGAATGTCTCTGGGAAGTGACGTATATAAAAAATATTCTTTAAATCAAATTGTAGTTGGTTTTATTTTACATTAGTTAGATAAAAGGAAGTCTGGTTGTGTCACTATTTTATTTTCCACTTACTTTAGTTACTTAAGAAGGTCACAATATGTATGTATGTATAGGTATACATTAAAAATTAAGATTTATCTTGAGGCATAACGTAAAACATATTCCACCATAAACTACCATAGGTACTTGGGACGAAGCACTTACAAAAAATTAAAATTCATGAATATCGATTGTAAAATTTTTTATACTTAAACAAAAATATCTTTGTTTGTTGTGTCTGTGTTGAATTGTTGTTTACGCATTCAAGACACTAAAAATATAGCGTGTTAATCGCTCAAAGCAGCCCTACACCTTTCTGTAACCGAAATTACTGCATACATTTGGGCATTACTCATTGCCGCCCGTCGTTTTTGTTGATTTATTCAAAGTATCAACGCGCCACGGCTCTTTGATACTTTCCCGATACAAATTACATACGTTCATAGTTATCACTTACCAAAAATACATCATAATTTGAGCTCATAAGGTTCAATTTCGTGTGAGCGTGTGTCGATCGTAATCAATAAATCAACACCGATTATTTCTATAAATTGTAACTCGATTAAGTTAAAATCGATGTGCCGTGTAATGTATATGCGTAATCTGTCATCGATGCACCAATATTTCATTTTATGTGGATATTCAAGGGAATCATAGGCGTTAGTCACGGAACTTCTAACGTAGCTAACATTATCTCACAGGCACTGATCTAGTACATATTATTAGCAAACATAACGTACCATAGCAAAAAATAATAATTAAATTTAACACTCTTTTAAATTACATAATTAAAATTGTTTTAGTCAGATTTGAAATTGATATTTAATTTCAAATGTATGTTAACAGTATACTGTTAACATAGTTTAAAATTTTTACATGCCAGTCTTACTTTGAGTTTGATCGCATTCTTATAAAAATTTCAAAAAATCATTTCGATAAAATTTTATTTTGAGGATATAATAAGTATTTTTACGCGACTAGTCACGGAAGGACGAAAAAAAATATATACGTTATTATCCAGTAGAATATCATAATATCTTAAATTAAAAACCGATTTTAATATGAAAAGAATGACGACACGGGCAAGACTTGAACCGACATTTACAGCGAAAGAAAGAAGATAGCGAATTCTTTAAATTTTATTATTTTAAATAAATTTTACTCTACAGGCACCATATTTAAACGTTTCGGGCCCCGTTAAACCTGAGATAAGACATCGCAACGATTAAATGTTCATCAGACGTAAAAATTACACTAAATTAGGCATAAACATGAGAAATGTTCGGGGCTTTTGGGTAAACTCTCCTTGTGGGGTAATCGGTGTTTTTGAGACGTTTATAGGTTTATATAGCTAATTAAACAAAAACTACAACAAGAGTAGACAAATGGAACTACTAATATTATCAAGCTGCAGTTATTGTTTGTTTTAAGCGCTTATCTCAGGAACTACTCGTTCGAATTGAAAAAATGTTTTTATATTAATTGGCCATTTATTGAATAAGGTTTTAGGCTATAAGACTAAACTAGGGAAATGGGAAAAAACAAGGAAAGATAGTATTGACTTTTCCCTACGTTTTGAACCGTGTTTTATTTAAATGTACTACTCGCGTAAACTACAATATGCTTCGTGAAACAACACGTTTTCAGCGAGGTCTCATTATTTCTACGTCATTGCATGGCATCACGTATCGGAGTTAGACAGAGCATGTATTAGCGTGTAAGATAAAGGTGCCTCGTGACGTGACAGCGGCAGTAAGATTCGTTTTCGTTGGGTCGCATGTCTGCACGGAACTCATTCAATGTCTCTGCCCTTGGTCAATGACTTGTTTGCACCTATAATTGTTATGACGGCTCCGAATGCGGGATAGGACGTTGCCTTTACGTAACTAAGTTCAACGTAGTTCGGCCACAATGAAGTCATACATCAAATAAGTTATGTTGGTTGAAGTCTGATATAACCTATTTGCTCCTTTCTGGTATCCGAAAGATGTTCTCACGTAAAAAAAATAATCAAGTCATATAACCTATTCCAATTTTAACTAAGAGGTCGAGAGTTAAATTTTTAAGTAACAAGTAGGTAGCAGGTATTCGTTATAATATCTTCCCATGCAATCGTGCCAAAATTGTTTGTAAAGAAAATCTCTGTAATACAATGTTTGTAAATATGAGGTATATTTAAATATTAACTAATATTGTCAAACATATAAATTGTATTGCTATAAAAATATAGCACTCACATTCCATAATTACATTATTCAATAACAAATTGAGTTTTTCTTGTATTCAAAATGTATGTTGTTGTAAAAAATCGGGACATTCCGTAAAAATTGTGGCTAGATTAAGATTGTATATATTGACGATGATTTATTATTAAAAACACTTAAATAGTCACAAGGTTTGTGAAGCTAACTTAATGTGACCTTTCAATTACTTTGGCTTTTTAAACCACGTCATGCTTCTTTAGATAAGTTAGAATGAGAGTTTATGTAGAGGTCAGCTTTCTTTTAATACGAAAATTCACTTGCCATCCAACGAATTGTGTGCTGCACATATTAAGCACACGGTAAATAAAAGTCCTCTACAAAAGATGTCAATCATATTTTTACATTGAACGTATGAAACCGAATTTATATAAAAAAAAATATTTACAAGTAAATTACATAAAATACAAAGATTTGATGAAGATGCATTTAACAATAATATTTGAGACACAAATGAAATTATTATAAAAATCAAAATCTCGTTTTAAACCGTTTAAGGTGTTTTATTTAAATGTGTACTTGCGTAAACCACAGTACTTAAAATCCAATTACATAAGCCGTGTCATTCTTCTAAAATAATAGAAATATCTAGATCATGTAACTTACATGATATTCAAGACCCCCTAAGGCTTTCCCTTCATCAACCAACTATCCTGACTACATCATTATTAACAATTTCACTTCAAATCGAGATTTGACCACCCATCATTTGTTAGATGTTGAAGAAAAAAATTAACAAGAAGTTGTAGGTTACGCCATAGACCCTGTGTTTAGAATTGCGTCCGCCCTCTGAGCTATAATTATAAATGTATTAGTGGGGTCAATGAACGGAAGGGTGAAGGCCGACGTAGGCTTTTGTTTTAAGGCCATATTTGGGATGTAAACAATATGTCACTCTCTAAATAACTGGTATTTTTATATGAACACGGACGATAAGTGTTAACAGCACTATTTTAGTAGATTCTAATATTAGTGAGATAATAGCTGGAACCGTCGAGTAACTATCAAATTCGTGAATCCAGTTTTAAAAGAAGAAATCAAATAGACTACTTCACTACATAGCCTTAGACAGTTCGTTGAAAAAAAATCTACAGAAATTATGAATTTCCATAATTCTTTAAAAACATACTAACTGCCTTGATTTAACCCGCTAAAAAACCCTAAGAGAAATAAAGAAATGAAGGATACCTCATTTGAAAACTCCTTATATAGAAACAGGATATTTTATATTATTTATAGATACAATAAATAATAAAAGAAATCCAAACCAAAATAAATCGATAGGCCATCTTGTTTAGGTGGCTGCGCTATTTACCCTTCCACCAAGGAGACACAATGCTTGTCTGTTCTCCTTTATCATAAAAAAAATATTACCACCATTGACTGTAAAGATTGCAAGAGCGTTTTTCATAGTTTCACGACGCATTACAAGTAATTATCTACTGTTGTAAATTTATTGTTATTTACTCAATCGCTGTGC